CCTGGAGCAGGACGTGCCGGTGGCCGCTGACGCCTCTACCCCCAGATGTGGCTCCCGTGGGGGTTTTGTTTCCGTCGTTCTCTTCCCGGACCTTTCCTGTTTCCTTCCGTGCAGATGCGACGGGAGGAAATCTCAGTGCCTTGGCTTTCCTCCGGCTGTGTCCCAGCTGCGGTCACAGGCTGGGGACAACACTGTGGCTCTCTGCGTCCTGGGACACGTCCTCCCTGGCAGTGATGGCAGTGGTGGCAGTGGTGACACTCGTGGCAGTGGCAGCAGTGGTAGTACTGATGGGTGTGGTGACACTGGTGGGAGTTTGGTCGTGCTGGTGGCACTGGTGGCAGTGGTGGTGCCGCTCGTGCTGGTGGCAGTGGTAACAGTGGTGGTGCTGATCTCCTGGTGTGCATCCAAGCCTCATAGACCTGCTGCTCTTGGTCACACACACACACCAGTGGCAGCAGTCCTGTGCAGAACTGCTATGTGGTAATAACTGGGACTGCTCAGAAACTTGCATTCAGTTTTCAGGGGGGTGGAAGTGCTTGTTGCAGACGTGGGATTCGGAGCAGGGAGAGCAGGACTTGATCGACCTCAAGGGGAAAGGGCTGGTTGATGTCTTGCTACATGGGCTGGAACCAGGAGAGAGGTCAAGGAAATGCTACACAGATGGGTGCTTTGTTGTATTTTCTCTGAAGGTGAACTTTGAATGGGGGATGTGCTCACTCGGAGACAGCTATATTTATGTACGGGTGAGATACATATTGTTTGGGTGAGCAAAAGCCTTTGTTCCAAGTCCCACTGCTAAAGCCCACGTGGAGTGACGATTTGGCTCTGCAAAGCTTCCTTTTCCTTTGCTTGGGGAGTTGCTGTGTTTAGGAAAACCTGACTCCAGCAGCTGCATCCCACTACCCCGGGTACCAGCAGCACAGCCTTCAGGTCTGGCATCTGCTCTCTGCTCCAGCCAAGCTCTTCCATTAACTGTGTGAAGAAGACCTGACCTTTATTTTGCATCCAGTTGCCGTGAGGAAGAGCAGCCTCATCCCTGCTGTTGCAGGGTCTGTCCCTGGACAGCTGGGGCAAGGCCAAGACATGTGTGTAATGGAGCTGCCACACTGCAAAGGAGTATTTCGGAGACCCCTGTGATCCCCTCTGATTTGGGGTGTGAGACAAGGAGGTGATGGCTCAGTGGTCCCCATCTCCAGAGCAGCATCCTTTGTTGCTCTCTTGTCACATCAAATTGCATTCACTGGATCCTCACCAGGCTCTTGGCTGCCCAGGTTCTTGTGGAAGAACCAGAAGCCTCCACAGTCCTGGTGAAAAAAGAATCACTGAAGTTGGAGAAGACCTGAAATCACTGAGTCTAACCACTAACCCAGCACTGCCAGGTCCACCACTAATTGCCACATCCGTGTACCTTTTGATCATTCCAGGGATGGTGATTCCACCACTTCCCTGGGCAGCCAAATCAAGTGCCTGACCACCCTTTCATTGAAGAAATTTTTCCTAATATCCAATTTAAACCTCCCCTGGCACAACATGAGGCTGTTTCTTCTTGTCCTGTCGCTTTGTTACTTGGGAGAAGAGACTGACCCCCACCTGGCCTCCTTTCCTCAGGCTTCCCCCTGATGAGTGTGAGCCTGACAGGCCAGTGCTGCGCTGCTGAGCATCCTCACCCAGGGCTTGCTCACTGTGTCCTCACATGCTTCCTCTGGATCCCCCATAGCACTCAAATCAGAAGGATTTATGTTCACTTGGCAAGTTATTAATATTAGCTGAAATTCCCTTTTCCACATTGTTCTGCCATGCTTAATACAGAGATCAGCGCCTCAGCCTGTAGCGCCGGGGATGATTTGCGATTGAATATCCATTAGGGATTTATGGGCTTCGGGGCTGAATTGCTGGGACATGCGAGAGCCAAAATACTTGAACCGCTTCCACTGGAGAGAGGAGACCTTGTGGGAAAGGAGCACTGGCTGTTCCCATACGCAGGCGGTTCCCACTGAGCCTCCGTTACTGGCAGCAAGCACACCCAAGCCAGCAAAACACTGTGTGGGATCCGGAGCGCCGATGGAGCATGAACTGCGTGCTGGATGATGGCAGGGAGTGAGCCACTGCTCCTGGTGGGCAGTGGTGCTCACAGCGGGTCCCAGTCCCATGGGGTCGGTCAGCGTGTGGGATCAATCCAGGACACGGTTAAACATGGGCACGGTTCATATTAATGTGTCTCTTGCAACTGGGTAAAATGAGGTATGAGGTTGTTTGGAGGGAGAGCTTACTACTTCTCCTCGTGTACCTCTGGTGTAGTGTGTCAAATGTGAAGGGGCAGAAGGCAAGATATCATTAAACACAGTGGAAGCTGGAAGAGCCAAGAGCCAAAGGCTTTAAAAGGAAAAGCAAAACATCCTCGAGTCGTTTGTTTCAGAGAAGCTGGGTCGTTTGCAAGGGGATGATCTGGGGCTACACCTGCTTTGCATCAGCTCTGCCCTCTGAGCAGGCACCTGTGGCTGCCCATCCCTCTCACCTCCTATCCCTTTTGAGAGTTTTAACCTCTGTTTTCCTTGAAGTGAAAAAGATGAACCTTGCTTAGGGGTTTGCCAGCAGGTTTTCCCTGGGAAACATTCACTCTCTGGGCGGCTGCTTCTTCCCATGGCTGTGCTGGCCCACAGCTCAGCAGCTGGGCCTGTAGGTGCCACATAGCCCAAACCAGCCCAAAATCACCCTCCAGAAATACCATATGGAGTCTTATCCAGCCATGGTGAGATCGTCTCGGGGGAAGAAGATCCCACAAACAAAGTGATGGGTGGGATCATCACTGGAAAAGCACGTCGAGCACCAGGGGGAGAGCAGGTTTCCCAGCCCATCTTGCAGGATCATTGCAAAGTTTGAGCAAAGATTCCAGCTGCTGTGGTCCAGGTGGGGAGGGTCAGCTACCTTGGGAGTTTCGGCATTGTCTGCACTGAATCGCGCCTAAAATGCTGCTGGGAGGCAAGTCCTGCCTTGCTCCCATCCCTCAACCAAGCTTCCTGCCTCCATCAGCTGCTAAAATCTGATTTCCTCAATGGGAACTGGAAATTTCCCCCCTAGAATATCCCACTAATCCCCTGCAGCCCAAGTAGGTTTTGAACTTTGCAGGAATATCCCTGCAGGGCTCTGGAGTGGCATTACCCCATTTTTTATGGGGGAAAAAAAAAAAATGAGTCAGGAGTGATGGAACATGGTTGATGGGAAAAGTCCATGATTTTTTCCCATGATGGGAAAAGTCCACCAGCCAGACTGGGCACATTCAGCAGAGCAGCCCTGCATCCTCTAAATCCTCACCTGGCTTTTTTTCCCGCCTCTTTGCTGTTTGTTTTTTTCATTCCTGGGTGCCACTGGAGAAGCAGGAGCTGGCGAGCAGGTTGTAAATGCTGCTTAGGGATGGAGGAGCCCGTTGTCAGCACCCAGGTGCTGTGATGAGCTGGTCAGTGCTCAGCTCACCTCCCTGATCTCACCTGTCTCATTACATCAGAGTGAAAAAAATCCAGAGGGGAAAGTGTCTGTCTGCTGGGGCATCATGAGGAGAGGTGAGGGGGTGCCTGCTGGCCTGGCTCATGTTACTTATGTGCTTAAGTTCTATTTTGAGGCTCTGGCCACGCGACTCTAAGCAGCCTCTGACTGCGGGAAGGACCAGCTTCAAAACAAGAGTCCGGTGGGTAACGACCTGGGGAGGCACCAGGTTTCCCTCAGCTCTGAGTGGGGCTGGCAGAGCCCTCACCTGCACCCTAGACCCATCATCTCTTGGATTTTGGCATTTCCGCAGTGGAAATTGATTTTTTTTTTTTTTTTTTAATTCTTCCCTTTGCCATCCTCAAAAGTAAAGATGCCACAGGTACAGAGCTGGGGTACTTTACAGGGAGCAATGTGCCGGCGGTGTGGGGATGCAGATGAACCAGCAGGGAGACACATCCACCACTAAAGCCAGTGAAATCATACACATGTGACCCCCTCCTCTGCCCCCCCCCTCCCCAAGAAAGCTCATTTGCAGGCAGCTTAGTTCTCCTAAGAGCATTAGAGGTGCATTTGGTGGACATGAGCCGCTCGAGCAGCACCGGGAGCATGTGGCCGATTAGGGGCAGCAGCAGCTGGTTTCGGGCACAGCGTGCATTTGGGGTGGAAGTACTCACTGTGCTTTTCAGGGACGCAAAGGTGAGATCTGGGGGGACAGGGTGGGTGTCGGGGGGTCGGCTTGCGTGGCCCGGGTGCTTAAATTCTCCAGTGGGTGCAGATGTTGGGTGGCATAGGAGAGAGAACAAGGCCTTCCCTGCCACGTGCTTTTCCCTTCTGCCTAACTGGGAGTTACCCCCTCTGGCTTTCCAGTGCCATTTCAGCTCCTCAGATGATATTTCAGTTTTATCTCTTAATACCACCTCGCTTTCTAATCTGTGATCTTCTGCAAAGATGAGGATGAACGAGGCTGGTGAAGGGACTGGAGCACAAGCCCTGCAAGGAGCGGCTGAGGGAGCTGGGGTTGTTTAGCCTGGAGAAGAGGAGGCTCAGGGGAGACCTTATTGCTTTCTACAACTACCTGAAAGGAGGTTGTAGCCAGCTGGGGGTCATTCTCTTCTCCCAGGCAACCAGCAGTCAGAGAAGAGGGCACAGTCTTAAGCTGTGCCGGGGAGGTTTGAGTTGGACATTAGGAAGAAATTCTTTACAGGAAGAGCGATCAGACATTAGAACAGGCTGCCCAGGGAGGTGGTGGATTCACTGTCTATCCCTGGAGGTGTTTAAGAAGAAACTGGACGTGGCACTTAGTGCCATGGTCTAGTTGACAAGGTGGTGTTGGGTCAAAGGCTGGACTTCATGATCCTGGAGGTCTTTTCCAACCTAGCCGATTCTGTGATTCTGCGATCAGGGATGCTGGTACAGGCTGTGGCGGGTGATGGTGCCTTCAGAGGCACCCGCACCGAGCAGGGGCTTCCTTGAGGAGCACACTCTCACCCCGGTGTTTCCCTTTCCCTCCCCTGCAGCCTTGCTCCCCGCTGGGATTTATGGAGGTGCTGAGGAGCAGCTGTGACCCCCGCAGCCCCCGGCAGCGCGCCCCGTGAAGCAGCGCCCGGCCCGCCCTCGCCTCGTCCCGCCCGGCATCCCGACCCTCCGACCCAACCATTCACGGCTCCCGTGCATGGATCGCCCCAGCGAGGCACCGCTGCCCGACGCCGCCGACGCCGCCCCGTAGGCTCCCGGCCCCCCGTGCCGCCCCCAAGTACTCCACATACCCCGATGGGGTAACGTGACGGGGGCCACCCTCCCGCCACCACCGCCACCCCCCCATATGCAGAGGCCTTTCTAGAGCGCCCCGGGAGCGCGCGGCGCCGGAGGCGGCGGCCGCTCGCCGTCGCTCACACACGCGTGCCGAGGACACTGACACTACAGCAAAGGGATTTCTTTCTTTTTTTTTTTTTTTTTTTAATTATTATTATTATTATTATCATTAATTTTTTTTTCCTGCCTGGCTTTTTTGCCTCCCCCTTCCCTCAGGGAGGGGGCTTGCGGTGTGTCAGGAAGCCGGCGCGCTCCCAGGAGCTGGGATTATTTGCACAACGTCTGTATATTGAGTTCTCGATCCTGTTTTATTTTTATTTTTGAAGCGCTGAAGGGTTGCTGGGGAGGGGAGGGAGTTGTTTTTTTTTTCGCCCCTCCACGCCACACTTTTCTTGGGCTTGTCCCCCCCGCCGCTGTCAGCAGCACCTCGCCTTCCCCTTGTCCCACCATGGCCCGGATGAACCGCCCTGCACCGGTGGAGGTCTGCTACAAAAACATGAGGTTCCTCATCACCCACAACCCCACCAATGCCACACTCAACACCTTCTTGGAGGTAAGGAGGGGAGGCTGGAACAGGGGACTGGGGTCCAGCTGCACTTTTTGGGGCTAAAAGCTGGTGCTGAGATGCAACCAGGATCAATCCTGTGTAGATGAGGCAGCAGCAAGTCCCCTTTCGTACCACGGCCTCTGGTGGCATCCTGAGGCAGTGGGTATAATCATTACCAGCTTTGGATGGACCCCAAGCTTGATCTTTGGGCACTGTAGAGATAGAGAAGAGTTTCCCCATTCCTGTTACATCCCCTGCCAAGTCCACCAGGACATCATGTCATGGGGCTTTGCAGTGATGCACGTAGATGGATGCACACACACAACCCCCAGCATCTCCCAGCACCTCAATAATGACTTTTCATCCCAAATATCCCAGCGCATTTCCAATGACCGGAGTGTGTTGGGTGGTGCTGGAGGGTTTGGTGTTGCATAAGCCAACAATGGTGCCCTGCCTGGAAGTGCAGCATCTGTGTGAATGCCACCGGCTCAGAGAGCCACAGGAAGGTGGTTGTGGTTTGGGGACAGCCACCCCATACCCTGCACACTGTGGGGACCACACCAGTGGGAAGGGAGAAAAATTCCCCTTTCCTCCAGCCTCTCAGATTTTTGGCTGAGCTGCCGAGTGCGCGGGGGGTTCAGCACGGTCTGGTGAGCTCAGACGGGGAACAAAGGGGGTGGATCACCGACGGGGATGATCTCATGGTGCGAGGTCGGTACACCGGCACGTAATCTGGGGGCAATCCTTGTGCCGGGCAACCAGCCATGCTGGAAACAGCCCAAATCCCACGCCTGAGCCTGCAGCGTGTTGGAGTGATGATGGGACACGGCAGCGAGGCTGGGAAGGAGGCCCTGAGCCATCTGTGAGATGCTGAGCACAGTCTGTGGGGTGTCCTGCAACCCCCCTACCCACCTCCCACCTGCGTTTCTGCCATTTCTGCAGCAGGAGTGTGACCTCACCGGGCACAAATAATTCCTCCTTCAGGGAACTTGCACCTGTGTTGGGGATGTTTCTTTGCCTGGGGTGTGAAGTCTCTGCTGGTGTGGCTGTCAGGGCTTAAAAATAAATCGCCCCATTGGCACTAGTGACTCCAAGGAGTCACGAAGGTGCTGGTTGAAAATCCTGCTGTGGCCACGTGAGTTTGCTGCCCTGGGCTTTCATGTTTCCTTGTGCCTCCCAAGCTGGATGAACCACAGGGGGTTTACTCCAGGGTCCAGAGATGGGGCATGGTACTTTAAGGTCCGTAGTTGTCTGCGTGGTCCTAGCAGGGCTGGGATATATTTGGGTTAACTGGGGTGCAGCTGAAAGGGTTTATTCAGACCTCTCCTTCTCCCTCCCTCCCCCAGGACCTGAAGAAATACGGTGCCACCACGGTTGTGCGAGTGTGTGAAGTGACCTATGACAAGACCCCCCTGGAGAAGGACGGCATCACCGTCATGGTAGGTGGGCAGCAGGATGCTGCTTAAACATCCCATCCCATCCCTCGGGGCTGCCGAACACCCTGAGAGACCAAAGCAGCATCACGCTCGCCCGGGAGCGGAGTTTGAAGCCCAGCTGAGCCGAGATGAGGCTGGTGCTTTAAAAAAAGAAGCACTGCCCACGCACCCGAAACTGTGACTCATCCGGCTGAGTCGGCAGCTGCCTTCCCTGCCTGTTGCTCGGGCTCCAAAGCACCCAGGGATGGGAGCGCCTGATCCCACGTGGAAGATGCGCGTGGTTCCCATTACCCCCGGCGTTATCTTATCCTGGGGGGTGGTGTGAGGGCTCTCTGCTCTCCCAGCAGCCAGCTGGTGCAGCTGGGGGGATGAAAGGGAGCAGGCAGCAGGCTGGGAAAAGGCAGAGCAGGCAGCTGCCTGGGCTGCATCTTGGCTGATAAGTAATTGGAGATGATGTCAGGCGTGATTGCCCTGCCAGGGAGTTCAGCTCCAGCTGGAAAGTGAGGCGCTGCTCATTATTTAGGGAAGGGTTTGGAAGTGCCTCGTGTCTCCTGGGGTGGTCTGCTCTGTTTAGGTCCTCTTTATATAGCTCTCTCTGCATAATCTATGTCCTATAGAGAGAGTAAGCTATATCCTAGATTCTCAGGGATATAAGTGGATTATCCTACCTCTCTCTAGATACAGATCCTGCAGATACAGATGCCTCTAGACATAGATGCAATATCTCTATAGAAGATACCTTAAAAAGATAGCTGTATCTTACTTACAGAATTCATATGTTGGAGATCATATCTGCTCACTTACACACCAAATTCTGCCTTTTACCCCATTTCTAACTGGAGTCCTCCAGTCTGAGTTTCTATATCTAGGATATATGGACCTCTACATCTCTTACACAGAGATACAGCTGTATCTAGGATATGTTTTATACAGGGAGTTAGAGAAACTATACAAGACACTGTATAGAAACTATATTATATATCAAAGTTTCTGTAACCATATAGAAACCATATAAGGCATATCATATAGAGAGATATCTATATCCTAGCTATTTATAGCTAGATGTATCTATGTAGCTACAGATATATCTCTATATTTGACTATATCACATATATCTATATATATATATTTGAGATATGTATATCTTGATATATACATTTTTGGTGTATCTATATATAATTTTTTTATAAATGTATCTCAGTATATATATTTGACATAGATATATCTATATATATTGGAACACAAGAATTATGAGGACAGTTGAGAGAGCAGAGGGTGTTTAGCCTGAAGAAAAGGAGGCTCAGGAGAGACCTTCTCACTCTCTATAACACCCTGAAAGGATGTTTCTGCTGGGTGGGGGCCTGTCTCTTCTCCTAGGTAACAAGCAATAGGAGAAGAGGAAATGGCCTCTAGTTGCACCAGGGGAGGTTTTAAATTGGATATTAGGAAAAAGTTCTTCACTGAAAGGCTTGTCAACCATTGGAAGAGGCTGCTCAGGGAAGTGGTAGAGTCACCATCCCTGGGGAGGGATTTAAGAGATGTAGATGTGGCACTTAGGGACATGGTTTAGGGGTGGACTTGGCAGTGCTGGATTAATGGTTGGAACTGATGATCTCGGAGGGCTTTTCTAACCTTAATGATTATATGATTCTGTATTTAGGCTGTATATCTCATCCCTTTCTTCTGGTAGAGCACAAGCCAGCTGAGGCCTGACTGCTGTAGTGTGCCTGGGTGCCAGCACCCATAGCCACAGTGACCCCACATGTACAGGGGTCCCGTTCCAGACACAGTCCCTGGGTGTTTTGGATGCTTCCTGTGCTTTTAGCTCCTCCATGTGCCACAGGGAGTCCTGGGCAGCTTCTAAAGCTGGTGGCAGTCACCAAGTTGTGCCGGAATGATGGAGCAGGTCCAGAGCAGGCCACAAAAATGACCAGAGGGCAGGAGCACCTCTGCTATGGAGACAGGGTGAGAGAGCTGGGAGCGTTCAGCCTGGAGATGAGAAGCGTCCAGGGAGATCTTAGAGCACCTTCCACTGCCTAAAGGGGCTGCAAGAGAGCTGGAGAGGGACTTCTGACAAGGACATGGAGTGACAGGACAAGGGAGAACGGCTTTAAACTGACAGAGGGCAGGTTTAGATTAGACACAAGAAAAGAAGTTTTTATCACAGGGGGTGATGAGGCACTGGCACAGGTTGCCCAGAGAAGTGATGCATGCTCCATTCCTGGAAGCATTCAAGACCAGGTTGGATGGGACTTTGAGCAACCTTTTTTAAGTGGAAGGTGTCCCTGCCCATGGCAGGAGGTTGGACTAGGTGGTGTTTGAAGGTCCCTTCCAACCCAAGCCATTCCATCACACAGTGATTTTTGTGGTGTGGTGTGTCCTCCCCAGTGCAAGCCTGGTGTCCCGCACTCATGGCTGAAGTGGTGCTTTCGTGGCACTGTGGGGAGGAGGTGGCCTTGCAGGACAGGCACAGGCTGTGCAGGGTGGGCTGGCTCAAGCATTACAATACCCTGAAGCCCAACATGTTCCTGTCCTAGCAAATCCCAGCAGAAATCACATTATCTGTTCAAAGAATTAAATGAAGCACCTTATTTTGCCATCTCACACCAAGGATGACTCCAGCACAGCAACTCAGTGACTCACTCCTGAAAAACTAGGATTAGGGCTCCAGGCCTCCCACCTTTCAGGGCTCACCAAGCCCTCCAGGAGATGCTGCCTTGCCTGTCCCTCTCCCACTGCTGCATAGCCAGTGGCCATGCTCCTTCTGCCAAATCTTATTTTGGGGAGAGAAATCCCCATTTTGGGACACTTAGTTCTATCTACTTCCTCACCAAGCTCCAGTTTTGAGCCCCTGCAGGTTGAGGATGAAGCTCAAAAGAAGATGGGCTTTTTTTTTTTTTTTCCCCCTTAAAAGCCTTTCCTGGCTTTTTTTTTTTTTCCTGAAGGATGATGTTTAAATGGACTTGTATGGCCTCAGACCCTGAGCTAATAATGCAGCCAGGGAGTTCCTGTGTGCTGGATGGTGCCCCAGAGCCCCGCAGAGCTGCGCTGTGAGCCCAGTTCCCTGACGCGCTCATCCAAGGGCCCAAACACCATCACCCTGAGTAAAAACAACCCCTGAGAGTCTCAGCAGTGTTTCTCTCTTCCCCTGCCCTTGCAGGATTGGCCCTTCGATGATGGAGCACCTCCTCCCAGCAAGATAGTGGAAGACTGGCTCAACTTGCTCAAGACCAAGTTCTGCGAGGACCCTGGGTGCTGCGTGGCTGTGCACTGTGTGGCCGGGCTGGGGCGGTGAGTCTGAGCCCAGCACCCCTCCTGCTACCCCACCCCTGCAGAGAGGAGAGGGAAAACCATGCCTGCCCTCCTCCTTCCCTTCCCCAGTCCCCCTTTGAGCAGGGTTTTGTGAAACCTTACTGAAACCATGCCTGCGCTGCTCCTTCCCTTCCCCAGTCCCTCTCTGAGCAGGGTTTTGTGAAACCTGAGTGGGAATAGGTGTTGGAATACAGGGTGGGATCTGCTGCCTGAGCTTTTCCTTGGGCTTTAAATGATGGGATGTCAGTGTGGCTGAGAAGTGACCACCACTGCCTTTGCCTTTCAGTGCTCCTGTCCTTGTTGCACTGGCCTTGATCGAGAGCGGGATGAAGTATGAGGATGCCATCCAGTTCATCCGACAGTAAGTCGTGTGGTGTTCCAGTGCTGGGGGAGGAAACAGCCCCTCTCTGAGAGAACAGAGAGATCTGATGTGTCCCAGGGGTTTTTTTTGGGTTTTTTTTTTTCTCTTCTTTCGGGGGAAGAAAAAGGAGATGTTTGCTTTGAGCACTCTGTGCCTTTGGATCAGGGCTGCAGGAGGCTGGGGCAGCAGCTGGGAGCATCCCTAGGGGGCTTTTGGCAGTCACCCCACCTCTGCCCCACGTGTTTCCTCCCCAGCTCTCCATGGGAGTCTCTCCATTGTCCTGAGACTTCCAGGGCGGATGAGAGAGAAAAGCTGCTGGGGGCAGTGCCTGTTCTCCATCCTTGAAGGATGCACGTGTGCTCAGCCTCCAAAATCCCTTCCTGCTCCAGGCAGGGGGAGTTCAGCACCCTGACGGGGGTGGTTTGGGACAGGGAGGCCTCCTGCCACCCTGCTGACCTTGCTGGCCCTTCTCTGTCCCCGCAGGAAGCGCAGAGGAGCCATCAACAGCAAGCAGCTGACGTACTTGGAAAAATACCGACCAAAGCAGAGACTCCGATTTAAGGACCCTCACAACCACAAGAACAAATGCTGCATCATGTAACCTCAATGACCTCTTGCCAAAACCCGTGCACACAGACACCCCGGGCACTCGCACACACCCCACCCCGTCACCCCCTCGCCCAGCCCTGCGCTCCCCCCGCCACCACCAGGGCTGGGGTGGGGGGAGGACACGGAGCATCACCAGTGTGTTCCAGCACCCACAGCACAGCCCCAGCAAAGGCTGTTCTCTCCAGCTGCAGCCCCGAGGAAGGAAGGCAGCGCTGCCCATTGACTCTTGGCGTTAGCAGGCAATGAGCTCGTGCGACGGTTCTTCATCACCTTCCTCCTCCTCCCTCTCCCCTCCCCGTTGCACTGAGAGGGGCAGGCGAAGGGTGCTTGGTTTGGAGTGATGCAGGCAGGGCTGGGCCAGCTTAGAAGGAATGGGGGGGGGCGGGCAGGAGGGCCAGAGCACCCCTGGAAAAACTCTTTCCCACCTCTTTCCTATAAATAAGGGCTGCAGCAGCGGGGATGGAGGGGGGGATGGTGCGGTGGCCTCGGGGGAAGGTGGTGATGGCAGGGAGAGGTAACAGGGGCTCTTAGCTCAGTGCTGACCTTGTGATCATGGGAAGGGCTGAGCTAAGACCCCCAGTACTGTTCCCCTTCTCCTGGCTCCTCTGCCACTTCACCCTCCCCCTGTTGCCTCAGTGGCAGCCAGGATGATGCAGATGGGGCTCACTGGGAGTTTGCTGCAGCGAAGGCAGAGCCACTGGGGACTTCGGGGACCGTGTCAGGGCTTTGAAGCACCAGCTTTGCCGGGATCAGTGTAGGATCAGCACTGAATCCCCCAAAGTGTTGAATGCTCTTACTTACAGCTTCCAAATTCAGTGCACAGGGTGGTGGGTTCTCTGCTGTCGTGTCCCCATCCCTCAGTTGTGACGCAAACCTCAGTGCTGGGAGTGATGCCATGGGGACACAGTGTGCATCTCAGGGCACATCCATGTCCTCCACCACTGGCCAAGGGGCTGGGCTGCGTCTTTCCTAGGGGATTTGGGGTGTTCCTGGCAAGAACACATCACCAAATTTTGCACCTGCCTTTTTTCCATGTCTGTAACGAGGCGCCTGACACCCCGAACCCCCCCAGCATGTGCCCTGGTGGGGTGGACTCAGAGCTGCCCCTTAGCTGGGACATTCAACATCTCTCAACTTTCTGCCTTTGAACGCTTGCAGCAGCTGGAGCAGTGGGCACACAGGGGTGTGGGGTTTTTTTTTCCTTTTAACAAGGATAAAAAGAAATTTGCTAATTAAAGGAAAAAAAAAAACTTTAAAAAATACCCTGTTTGTCTTCCGCACGTCCTCTGGCCTTTCTTTCTCCCATCGCTGCCCAGTGGAGCCCAGGAGGTGACCCGTGGTCCCCCAGACTGATCCCCAGCACCAGGTCCCAGCTGGCTGCCACCCACTGTCACCAGGGCACATGTGTGGCCAAGTGGAAGTTCCAGGTATCCCTTGGACTTGCTGCTGCTCACCCTCAGCTGCAGAGGAGCCCAGTTGCTGGAGCAAGGAGGGCTGGTCATCCACCTTGTGTGGTTTTAGGCTGCCCAGCTTGTGATGCCTTCAGTGCCCTGTGTTGGGTATCTCCAAAGGTTTGTGTGCCTTCCGAAATGCAGATATCCAGAGACGTTTGCTTCAGAGGGTTCATCCCTTGGGAAAGGGGGTGAGGAAGGCTGGTGAGACACCTTCAGTACCTGCAGAAGGGTAGGGAATGGCTTTGTACCATGATGTGGGTGGGCAGAGGTGTTCGTAGCAGTTTCCAGCACCACTTCTCCTGTCCTGATGGGAGCCAGCCCCGCTGCACTTCAGGGATGGCCATCCCATGGGATAGGCTGTGGTGCCAGTTGAGGTGGGGACCCTCCACATGTGGCTCTGGAGTTGTCATGTCACACACCTTGGGCCTGTCCAAGCCTCCACATTGTGGGACAGCCCTTAGTCCCTTAAGTTTTCACCTGCCTTGTTCCAGGCTATTGGTTCCCCTGACTTGTGGAGAAGGCAGCAATGGCTGAGGGGTGTGTGTTTGTTGAGAAAATCAAGAAACTGAGCTGATGAGAAGGCCTGACTCTGTATTGGAGCACTCTGCTGGACAGGTCACCATTCCCTTCCTGCCTGAGTCTATCCTACTGCTAAAATAGGTGCTGCTTCATCCCCAGGGACAAATGTAGGTGATAGTTGGGCATTACAACAGGGACAGCCCCTATCCCTCCTAGCCAGGGAGCCTCGCATTCCCATGTCCTTCCTTATGGGAACCATTGCTTTCTAGGTTTGAAGGTGCAGTTTTCTTCCCCCATACCTGTGGGAGCATCACATGGAACGTTGCCCAGGGCAAGTGGTCCAGGGATTTGGCCACGATGGAAGGGCTTGAATTCAGCCTCCTTTGGCCACTCCTGAGCAAGAGTTCGCTCAGACCTCAGCTTGGTGGGTTGATTTGTGGGAAACACGAGGAGGACAGGCTTTGCTTTATGTAGCATCAAACCAATCACCTTAAAAACTGGGAGCTTCAAGCAGTCCCTGACCTGGTACAATCTGTGTGGCCAAGCCCTGAGCGCCTCTGGCTGGCAGAGTGGCATCTTGATACTGCTCAGTCTACGAGTCATGGCAAAAAAAAAAAACCAAAATCATGCTGCTTTAATTGTCCTCATTTTTTCTTTTTTTTTTCTTTTTTTTTTATGGATATCTTCCCCCTCCCATCCTGCAATGTGCTGTCACCTCCCCATGTGCTACTCCATGGACAGGACACCTTGGCAGCCCAGGAGCTCCTGTCCTTGCCTGGAGGGCTGAATCCAAGGTGTCTCTGGGTTGGACTGCGAAATACTGGGGATTCCTTTGGTATGGACTTGGGCTCCTTCCTCTGAGGTACCAGCTCCTCAATGTTTCAGCCTAGGGTGCTTTAGAAAAGGGGAAATTAGGTGGTCTTCCAAGGGGGAATTGGGTTAGAAATCTCAAAGAAGAGCCCAAGACAAAAGTCTTGAGACAGTTGGGCAAGAGGGAAGGTTGAAGCTCAGTAGACACAGCAACAGAGTGAGGCTAAGCAGCCAAGGGCTCATGGCTTGGTCTTGGGGTCTCTCCTTGTATGTTAATCCTTATTTCACCTTAGATGCCAAGATGTTGAAAGGAGAGCCTTAAAAATCTGATGTGCTTGCCAACTCTGTTATTGCTGCTTGTTTCCATTGTGCCCTGGCAGATGTCACAGGGAACAGACACCCCACGGCTTTGGCTACAAACCAACCACCTCATCCTGCCCTTCTCTGCAGAAGCAAAGGCTCAAACTGGGTTTTATACCTCCTAACACCTATCCACCCCCTCACCCCCTCCGTGGAAAGCCACTGTCCTTCCTTAATTTACAGGGACAGGTCTCCAGATCCAAGATATGGCAAAGCAGAGATGCCCCAAGCATCAAAAGAAGAGATTTTGCACTTTACCCAGCAATCTAGTCGTGGCTGAACCTTTTGTGGGGAGATAAATCTGAGCAGGAATTCCTGGTTGTGTCCTCTCACATGTGTGCTCTTCCATGTCCCGTCTGTTCTTCATTTTCCAGTAGCATGGAGCACGTGGAGGAGATGGTGGTGGGAAGACAGGCAATGTGACCCTCGTAGATGTCCAGCTCTTTATTAAGAAAGTTCTGTTGACACATATTTGAAGACTTTGCATTTGTAAATTCATGGTATGAGTCTTGCAGTCAGGCTGACACTGTGGTGCTTGGGCTGGGAGCTTCGGAGGAGGAGGTTTATGAGGAACAGATTTCCCGAGAAAGCAGAGAGTCTTCTTGCTCTATCCACAATAGAACAAGTCCTTTCTTTTTATTTTTTATTTTTTCATTGGATTTGCTTGGTTTTTATTAGTCCCAGTGGGAAAGCACACAGGGAGATTCGTGACTTCCATGCAGTTTCCAAGGTCTTACATCTTAGTTGCTTCCAGCACGCTGGGTAGGTGCAGCTTGACGGGTGGGTTTGGATGGGATACTGTCTGGTGGGAGAAAGATGTGGCTGGTTTCTTAGCAGTGGGGGGATCCTGGGCCAGCTGTGGTCCCGCTCACAGGCTCTAGCAGACACTCCCGGGAAGGGGGGGCATTCCACCGAGCTCGGCTTCCCTTCAGAGGATGATCTCCCAATGAACTCTCCCCTTCCCTGCTGTTCCTTTTTGTTCAACAAAGAGCTGCATATTTTCCTTTTTAACCCCCTGGGCAATCATAGTAGTATGTAGATCAAGCCCAGATGACTTTTTTTTTGTTGTTGTTGGTTTTGTTGGTTTTTTTTTTTGGTCTGAGCCATAGCTAAATTATTATACCCAACGCTTTTTGTATCAGACGGCATCACTTTGAATATGCAGATGAGGTATAGGATCTTGACACTTTATAACCTTTTTAAAAAGAAACTTGTCTGTTTACTTAACGTCTTGTGTAAAAAGGAAAAAAAAAGAAAACAATGTATGCCTTCAGTAATCACTTTTTTGTTGTTGTTGTTTTTTGAGTTTTATGAAATTACGGTGGTTACACTCCAGCAGCGAAATAAAAAGCGTTCACTGTTTTGTACATCCCTGTGTTCCTGGTGCTGCTGATGGGAGTTATCAGGACGTGGGAGGCAAAGGCAGAGCCAGACTCTGGATAAGGGTGGAAGTGCATGGGGGGGTTATTCAGGCTGGAAAAGAGAAGGTTCCAGGAAGACCTTGGAGCACCTTCCAGTAACTAAAGGGAATACAAGAGAGCTGGAGAAAGACTTTTGCAAGGGCCTGGAGTGACAGGACAAGGGAGAACGTCTTCAAACTGTCAGAGAGTAAGTTTAAATTAGATATTAGGAAGAAATTCTTCCCTGGGAGGGTGGTGAGGCCCTGGCACGGGTTGCCCAGAAAAGCTGTGGATGGCCCATCCCTGGAAGTGTTCAAGGCCAGGTTGGACAGGACTTGGAGCAACCTGGGCTAGTGGAAGGTGTCTCTGCCCATGGCAGGGTGGTTGGAACGAGATGATCTTGAAGGTTGCTTCCAACCCAAACCATTCTGTGATTCTGTATCCAGTAGAGCACAGCCCAACCTTGGCTGGACACCTGGGAGTACACCCAGAGGAGACATTCCTCACGCTCTACCTGATTTGGTCAGTGCTTCACCACTGGCACAGACCACCCATCAGACACGAAATCAGGCTTTGGTCATAAAATCAAATGGGTTTTTAACTCTGCCCCCCATGACTAAGGAAGGCAAAGACCAGAGTCCTCATGGTGGCTGAGAAGATGGATCTTACGTGAACAGGCTGGTAAGCAAGAAAAGCTGACACAAATTGTGTGATTTCCCAAGTCATTACACACAGCTGGGTGAGAGAAGGGGGAGGAAACTCTCCCTGTGCTGCTGTAGGCTCAGGAAGGCTTTTAAGCCAGATGCCAGCATGGAAGAGGGTAGAATTGAAGCGAGGTGGCAGGGTGGGGTGGCCCGAGCTGTCCTTGGATTCCCCCAGCAATTCCCAAGCGCTCAGTGAGGCAGATCTTTATCTCATCGCAGGCTTTGAACCACACAGCTGCAAGGGGCACTGCCTCTGCCGTTGTGCAAGAAGCAACTGGGCCTTCAATCAGCCTAATTGCTGCCTCACCTCTCCACCAGGAGGGCCAGGGGGGACTGCTGAACACGGTGTGTGCGCTGGAGAAACACCCACCGGCGCTCCTGCCTGTACACGCTGTCTCCTACCTCCTGCATTCCTCCTTGCTCACCGTCACCGAACAACATGCACCCATTTTCAGGCCACATCCCAACTCTCCATGTTAGGCTGCTGACACTCCATGCACAGGTTCCTGCCCTGCCTAAGAAAGTCCATAAAGTTGGGGGGTTTATGGAAAGGTCTAAGTTGGCCACTCATGGGTGCTGGGACCTGCCCAGAGAAGCTGTGGGTGCCTCATCCCTGGAAGTGTTCAAGGCCAGGTTGGACGGGGTTTTGAGCAACCTGGTCTGGTGGGAGGTGCCCCTGCCAATGGCAGGGGGTTGGAACAAGATGATCTTTAAGGTCCCTTCCATCCCAAACCATTCTATGAGTCTATTCTACGATTCTATGATCTCTTCCCAACTGGTGCCATGGTCCACAGTACCTTAACCCATTCTCAGCAGAAGATGTTGATCCTTGCAAGCCCCCATCATAGCCCCGTATTGCAATGCTTTCAGTCCTGCAAGGATCTCCACACTGAGAGACATCCACACTGGAGACATCCAAAGCCTTGGGACATGACCCGTGGCTCACAGCCCACTCTGCCCATGTTACTAACCCACCTGAGCAATCCAACTCTCCACAGAGCTGTTGAAGCAGAGGTTGAAGGGTCTCAGTAAAGTCTCGACCAGCCACAGTCCAGGGTCATGAGACTGGATAAAAAATTGCTTTCTGCGGGCCACCTTGCTCCT